GATTAAAAAAAAGATTTTGTTAAAATAATAAACAAATGCATTAATAAATAAATGAAGTCTTAATTTAAAAAAATGCATTTTTCCTACTTATTTCAAATTATAATTTTTTTTAAAAAAAATTATTTTATTTGTTGTTGCCTTTTACTCACAAAACATATTGCTAATAAAAATTTATGTCATTATTTTTAAGAAAATTAAGGTTTTTTTATGAACATTTTATCGATTACTTCATAAATAATTATATATTAGCCTGAAGTGCAATTTTTTTAAGATAAATTGCTCTTTAATGTTAAATAACAATACAATGTCCATTTCCTAATTATTTTTGTTGTAGATATCTTATATATATATATTTTAAATTTTTTATTCCAATATTTTTCATATAGTTGTAGAAAGATAATTAATTTATTATTTTTTAATTGAAACTTGCATCCATGATCACAATAAATTTTTACTTAAAAAAATATTTCTCATAAAAAACATGTTTCATAAAAAAAAAGAAATGGATTAATAAGATAATTAGTATTTTCAAATATACATTTTTTTCTATTTAATTTAAAAGTTTTCATTGTTGTTTATTTTTATTTAACGAGTTCTGTTGCTATAAAACAAAACCATTTTGTTGTCAAAACAAAAATAAAGAATTTAATAAAAAAAGATAGTTTTTATGAAAGAATACATTTATACTTCATAATTTTATCTGTTTTGTTTCATGCAAATATCTATTTTTATCAATTTAAAAATTTCAAAAAATAATATTATTAAACAAATCCAAATCCATAACTATGGTAATAAATTGGAAAAGTTAACTTAAATTCATCATATTAATTTAAAATATCATCATTTTAATATATTTTTTATAAAAAAACATTAAAAAAATTATTCTTTTAAAACTTTTTATAAAAAATCAAATTGAATTTTAATCTACTTAAACTAATGCCAGTCTAGAGGTCAAGCTAGGAGATGACTATATGTTGACCTATTAGGTTCAATAACATCACAAAAAATTACCCGAGAATAGTGTATGTAAATGAAAATGAATATAACAAAGAAACTATAATAGTAGTCATGGCTTTGGCAAAAAAAATAAAAAATAAAAATTATAATTGAATTCCAACAATCCCAAACAAGAATTTAAATAATTTGCTCCTAGTCCATCAGTTAAACATGAAATAAAAATATCATAAAATTTGAAATCCATGCTGAAATAAAAGGAAAAGATAACTTGGAAAGCTGAAATTCTTTATCCACGTCACACGTCCACTTCAAAAATATGCATCGTCATTGGTAATTGTTTACTTTATTATTTTTAATAATTGTTTACTTTATTATTTTTGCGAGCTTGTTAATATTTCTATTTTTTTTTTAATTTTGGGGAAAAACTTATTAGATTTTGTTTCATTTTTTATTTGAGGGAAGTGGTATCATATCGTATAGGATTAGATCTTCTATTTCAATTATGCAATTATGGTATTTGCTTTACCAACAATTTTGCTGGGAAAGATTGTCTAACAACTTGCTTAATTCTTGAGTTTGAATCTATCATAGATGGAGATTGACGCCAACTTGTAGTCCTATAAAATAACCTAAATTTATATTTAATTTATTTTTTTAATCTTATCCTCTAATATTAAATTTATTAGATATAGAATTTTATAATTTAATTTTTTTTATATAGAATTTTTCAGTCTCATAACCCGAATTGTGAGTTTTACGGATTAAATGTGTTGATTTTGATTAATTTTTTTGTTATTTTTAATTAATTTTTTAAATTTTATCCTTAAACAATAAGTTAATTGAAGTAATTAATTTTTTTGATTTTATCCTTAAACAATAAGTTAATTGAAAATTGAACTTCATAATTATTTTTTAACTTACTTTCTACAGAGTTAATATGATTTCATAACCTGACACATGAGTTTTGCGAGTTTTTCATGTTAACTCAAGTATTTTTTTATTCTTTTTTTAATTGAATATTTTACTTCAACTTCTTCGTTTAATTGTGGGTAAAATAAAAATTAGAATTTATTTATTAATTTTTTGATTTGTTTTATATGGAGTCATCATAATCTCTTAACCTAGATTTGACAAGTTAACCTGAGTTGATTTAATATATCATTATCTCAATATTTGAAAAACAAATATCATCCAATATATCTTCGTCTCAGTATTTAAAAAAATAATAGTGTCCAATATGTATCATTTTTTGGTTAGGTTAATTGACTTAGATTTTTTTAATTCTTTTGTTAGTTATTTTTTAAATCGCAGGTTAGGTTAATTGACTTAGATTTTTTTTAATTCTTTTGTTAGTTATTTTTTTTTTCAATTTCATTCTTAATATTGGATTGACTGAGAATTGAGTTTTATAATTTGTTTTATTTTATATTTTATGAAGTTATCTCAATCTCATAACTCAGTTTACGAGATTGATCGATTGACTAAGGTAATTTTTTGAGTCCTTTTTATAATTGATTTTATTTTTTATTTTATCTTTCAACATTTAGTTGAATGAGAATTAAACTTTATAATTTATTTTGATTTGTTTTTTATGAGATTATCTCGATCTTATGATATATATTTGACAGATTAACTTGAGTTAACTCGACTCAATTATTTAGTTGAATTTTATTTTAATTTGATCCTTTAATATTGAAATGATGAAGAATTAAGTTTAATAATATTTGTTTATTAATTTATTAGGGTCTCATAATTTAGATAATAAATTTAACAAGTTAACTTGAGTATATCCAAGTCAATATAATATATTAATTATTTCAATACTTTAAAAACATATCATCTTAATTTTTTTATATTAAAATATATTTTTATTAATTATTTAAATTCTTTTTAAATTTAATAAATCAACTTATGATAGCAATGCTCGTATAATCAACAAGAAATGGCACTTATGAGCCTGGACATGCTAGGCCTGCGTTGAATGGGTCTAATTGCAGCCTATATGCTTTTACTATTACAGCCTTTGTCTTCTTCACTTAACTCTTCACTTTTCTAAATGGAATCATGATTACGCATCACTTTTTGTGTACTTAGAAAACACTACTAGATTATTTACCCATGCTAATATTTAAATATAAAAAAATATTTAAATACTACTAATATATATTAATAAATAATTCTCAATACATCACAATAAAACATAATCAATTAATTAAAACTATGATTTTAAAGGAAAACAAATACGATGACTTCTACTAACAGATTAGATGGTGGTGCCATGAGAATTTTAGCTTTTGATTTAGTGGAACATATATATTTCATGCAGGAATCATATAAAAAATAATCCTCCAAAAAAGAAAAAGCCAGAAGTTTATTTATTTATCTATTCTTTTCTTATAAGAGCTGATTTATATTCTGTATCTAATAATGAAGCTCGAAGTTTCTAATCCTCAACACCATGTTTGGGGACAAACTAAATTAGGAAAAAAGTGGGAAGCAAGGGAAATCATTCTCTCTTGTTGTATTTGGATGAGAGAGAAGGGAAATAAAATAGGAAAAAAAAACTGTCTTTATTAAAAAATAAAAATGAGAAGGAAAAATTATCTAAAAAAACTAAAATTATTTTGAATTTTAATGCATTTTTGGTCCAATCATTTGATACATCATAAATTTATTTATGTGTTTCAAAAATATTTTTGAAAAATTTAAAAAAAATTAATTTTTTATTTACTTTAAATTAATATATTTTTAGTTTTTTCTAATTATTTTTGATGTGTTAAAATGAAAAATAATTTTTTAAAATAAAATAAAAATTATTAATATATATTTTGATACTAAAAATTATTTAAAAACAACTATAACCACATTGCTAAATAAATAAATTTAAATAAATAATAACTTTAATTTAAATAATACAAAGCTATTTTGATTGAATAATTCATTTGTTTTTTTAAATTTTTTAATGTGTTAATATTAAAAATAAATTTTAAAAATTAAAAATATTATTTTAATATATTTTTAAATTAAAACATTTTAAAAAATAGTATCCTTCAATCTATTCTTCTGTTTTTCCAGGTTCTGTTGGTCGTTTCTAACTGTTCGCATTTGGCAGACTAACCAACTTTTTTTTTAAATTTTTTAATACGTTAATATTAAAAATAAATTTTAAAAATTAAAAATATTATTTTAATATATTTTTAAATTAAAACATTTTAAAAAATAGTATCCTTCAATCTATTCTTCTGTTTTTCCAGGTTCTGTTGGTCGTTTCTAACTGTTCGCATTTGGCAGACTAACCAACTCATTAAATTAAAGACGACAGCTCCAAAGCTACAGTACAGAAGAAAATAGGCATATTTACAAATAGTCCTCAATATATATAGAAACTAACAAATTAGGCCCATCCCTTAAGTTTTTCCTAATATCAACCCTTTTTCGATTAACAAAGTAACATAATAAAGATGTCTGATCTACTCTCTTTTTTTTCTTATAATATAAATGAATCATATAATAATATCATAGCATTTCATCGACAATAGCGATTTTAATAACTTCAATACACTGGCAACAGAGCTGATGGGGACGAACTCGTGAGACCAAGGAATTAAAGGGAAAAGTCAGAAAAATTTAAGAGATTGGAGACTGATATGTCATAAATATATAAAACAGGGACTGATTCTTAATTACCGAAAAAAGGAAATGCTTATCTTATAAAAAGAAAAAGGACATGATCTGAGGTAACGTGACGTGTATGGCTGACAACAGATCAGACAAAAAACAAGTAACAGAAAATCACAAGACTCTCTCTTTCTCTCGCTCTGTCTCTGTCTGTAACCAGCGAATTTAGGACATAAATAAAAAGCAAAGGAAGGCCAGGAGACCTTATTCATAGGCAGTTGCATTTATGTTAGCGCTGAATATAATAACTTTTTTTTTTGAAAAAAAAAGCACTAAAAATAACCTATTTAGCAGTAATGGAAGAACTCCATCTTAACCTTTTCCTTTTCTTTTCTTTTCTTTTGTAAGGGTTTTTTCTTTTTTATTTTTTTAATACAATACATAATTGTTATCTATAAAGAGAGGAAGTAAAAGAGGAGTGGTGGTTTTGTTGACATTTCGACCCGGATCCGACATTGTCGGACCCACCTACCTCAATCACCCGCCGCCATTCCTTCTTGGAACCTCCCTCCCCTCCTTCTCTTTGTCCTCCAGTTCGTGGTCAGAGTGGCGAGGGAGATCGATTCTTTCTGCAAAACCAAGGCTTTATCTTCTATATATAGGTTGGTAATGTTCTACTTTCATCATCATCATCATCATCATCTCTTTTTAGTTGAATGATGACATGTTTTTCTTTAAAAAAGATTTTTTTTCTATGTGTGATGCATGGCATTGTGATTTACCTGGATTTTTCTAATCTGGGTTTTGTTCGAAATGATCATTCATCTGCAAAGGGATTTTCTTTTTTCCTTTTCTGTATTACAATGATTTTCTGTCTTTTTTTTTAATGTTATTTACGGGAAATTTGAAAATTTAATTGTGGATTTGGGGTTAAATCTTTTGTTTTTGTTATTTCCTTGTGATCATATTCATTTGGATTTTAATGATAATATATATTCACTTCGTTGTGCATTCTTCTTTATTTATTTTCGTGTGTATGCATTTCCATTTCACGTTATGACGTCAAACGTCAACCTTTCCATGATTTTCCTTCGATATGTTTTCTTCTGGTGTTGTACCTGTTTTGTCTTCTTTTACCTTATTTGATAGGGACCCCTTGCCATCTTTTTCTTACATTTACTTTAGCTCTCTCATTGCAGTTTCTGATTTGAAACTGAAACAAGTGCTTCTTTGAAATTGAAAAGATCTTTTTCTTTCTTAGATGGTTTGGAAGTTCTTAGGACATGGGTCAGATTATTTTATCCATCTTTTTATTTAATTCTGTCTTGCAGTTGCTAATCACCAGCTTGACTTGAGATTAGATGCTTGGACGCTAGGTTGTTTTACCAATTTAGGAGGTTGGTCTGAGATTATTGCTTGCAGAATATTTTGTGAGTTGTGATCATAATGGTTGCACAAATAATTTTCTCTAAAGTTTTGCTGAACTAATTAGTAGAATGATAATTAATTACACAATCTCCCTTTTTAATCAAAGCAGTTTTTTCCGCAGCCTGACTCCTTCATCTCTCAACAAATTTGATTGTATGCTTGTTTACATATGTTCACATACTGTACGTTGAGTTGCTAAAAGACTGTTGAGTGGGCTAGCACTGTGGCTGGATAATCAGCACTGCCTAGTTAAGAAATTGTAGGGAAAATGATTGTCTTAATAAGTCTTTTTTTTTGGCAAGCATGTGTTTTCAAACATCAGATTAGTCTTCAAGTTCCTGTTTATGGACTCGAATCTCTTGTGAATAATTTTTGCTACTGGCAGGATTGTATAATTAGGTAGCTAGAATGGGCAGCTGCGTATCAACACCACCAAAAAAGATTAAATTACATAAAAGGCGCCATCGCAAGGGCAGACATCTTGTGAAGATATCTAACACTGTCCAGGATGGAGGTAAGAAAAGGATTAGCGATGCCAGATGTGTGAAAGATTTTACTGTTAGTCAATTTGTTCATATGAATTTTGAGAATGGTGCAGCTACCAGGTGCAGAAAATCTGGAGTCTCCAATTCGACATTCCATCTCACCCAGTTGCAATGGCACCTCAGTCAAGTAGACTCTGATGGTACTTTTTTCCATCTCACTTTGTATCAAAAAATATGCTAATCATCCACTGTTTTGGCATACTTGATTCTGTTGGCCGATCTTGTTTTAGTCCCAAATGGGAAGCAGCCACCATGTCCTCGTCAAACTAATATGCCATTCTTGCACAAAATAAGAAGTCCAGTAGCCCACCACTTTTAATTGCTTGTAGACTATACTGGCAATGGCACACACTATGCTACGAATCAAATACTTCTGCTTTGACCAATTTGGTAGAGCTTTTTTTATGTAGAAATGGAATTCTTGGCCAATTTCTTATAAAACACAGTGTGATTTTGCAATGATTTCCTATCGTTTCTTCATAAGTTATATGCTTAAAATGGAAACAGCTGAAGTTCATTATACATGCATAAGCCCATCGAAATTCCCAGAAGATTTTAAGAACTGGTAGTCCAAATATTGTTCCTTATTGTTCTGTTTAGGCTAATCTTCAAACGTATGGATGATTCCCTTTCATCCTTGTTCAAATTGATCATCCTGCTGATATACACCCTGTTTAATTTAGAATTTTTAAATTTTGGGTACCTGGTGCCAGGTGAAATATTAGGAATTAATATTTTTATGCAGCAAGAGCAAATGTGAAAATAAGCTCTTGATTTAGTGTCATTCCTTTTGGTTTTGATATGCATGTTCTGGTTGCTGGAGTCAGATCTTGATGGTCACTGTTATAAAATGCATGTGTATTTACCTGTCTGGATTGATATCCATCTCAAAATTTGAAGTGAGCTTGAGATGGATGCTCTTCTGCATTTATTAATGTGAAATTATTGTATTTGTTTCTCAAAATATAGCCTGTTTAATCGTTGCGTTTTTTTTTAGGGATCCATTGATTATTGATGCATATGATAGATTGAAACTTACCAATTTTACCATCTATTCTTTCTTGTTCTGAATGTTTAACCCACTGGAACAATCTTTCAGACCATTGTATAAGATCATCACAACCTTTATTGTTGCCTCTGTAGTCCCAACAGGGTCCACAGACACCTGTACATACTTTTCTAACTGCTTAAGAACATGGCAATTGACTTTTAAGAGTTTTTGCTTGCAGTAATCCAAGAGGAACCATGGTTTGATACAGTCAGTATTCTGGAGTCAGATTCTGATGATGAATTCTGCAGTGTGCTTGGAGGTAGTGAGCACTGATATCTCTTTAACTGCTTTCATGAAATGGTACCCTCATTTAATGAAGATAAACAAGGGTGTTTTTATTAATGATGAAGTGATCTCAATCAAAAGCCCCCATCATGTTTTTTTCATTTAATCTCAACATATAAAACTGAGACAAAATCTAGCTTGCACTGATTTCTTCAGGACATAATGGTAATCTGTCGAAACGCCCTAGCTGGATGTATTTATAGATGTTTTATATTGACAAGTTGCTTGCCATGTCTCCCTTCATCAGTTGCGGTTTAACATGTAGAGTATGTGGTAAAGTAACTCCTGTTGTTGATGTTAATGTGAATGCTTGTTCACTAGTGTACATTAAATATATTTTTATTGCAGACCGCTTTTCATCAGTGGGTTCTACAACTGGGAACATCTCAAGCGGACAAGTGCTTCAATATGAAAGCTCTTCATGTTTTGTGGATGGCAGTTATAAGTATGAAGAATACCATGAAAGTTATATGAAAATAGATGGATCAAAAACAGGAAAAGATGAATACAAGGAATCCAAAGGATTTGCAGTTATTAGCGCTCAGGGTTATGATATTTCACATTTTAGTAAAGCTGATGAAATTCGGAGGAAGAAATTATTAAATAATTCCTACGGAAGCTTCAAAGGTCTAAAAGAGGATAGACGTGACTCTCAGGAGAATAACTTGAAGTCCGGTCGATCTCGATTGGTTCCTTCTGTAAGTTTCAATGACAAGATTTTATCTGCTTCAGCTCCAAAAGGGAAGCTAGCAGTTTTTAGGCTTTCTTTTAAGAGGAAATCAGGTGATGGAGAAGAAGCTAGTGAACACTGTAAGTGCTCAAGTTTTTGTTGCACAACTGAAATTCAGCATTTCTTTATCAACGTGTATTTCCATGATTTTCAAGCACCACGTCTCTCGTTGTCTAATTTTATTATCCTAATATAAAGATTGCATGAGTTTTCTCTCAGTCTATACATTTCTTTGAGTACAGTATTAAGCCTCAATTTTGGACTTTTCACTTTATTCGTGTTTTATCAAATGGGTAACTTTGCAAGACATTCAAGTTTATGTGCTTGTAAGTACATGGATCGCCGACATAGAACGTTAATCTTGTTGATATATATGTATTCAGGTCCATCAAAAAGATTCTTGTACTGTCCTAAAGCAGGATTTGTTATTCCACGTGCCACGGGAGAGAAGCCAACTGCAGGATGTTGGTCTGAGATTCCACCCTCAAATTTCAAACTTCGTGGCCTGACCTATTTCAAGTATGCCATCGACTTACTTTAATCGTCCTTGTTTGGTGGCCAGGCTATTGTTAGTAGTAGTTACTCTATACTTTGTTCTGTGATAGGCAATGATATAATTTTGGAATGATTTACAATGCAGAGATAAGCAGAAGTGCCCTGCTCCAATTCACTGTCCATACACTCCAATTGGTGTTGATGTATTTGTCTGCCCAAGAAAGATAAATCACATAGCTCAACAACTTGATCTTCCAAACTTAAAATCAGATGGGAAACTCCCTCCTATGTTAATAGTAAATATTCAGGTATATGTTTCTGATAAATCATGTTAATTGCTCAATGTATCCTCTGTGTCCTGCGAAATAAGCAATTACAATTTTGTTGACTCGTAAAGTCAGCAGTTTCTCATGTTGTATTGAACCTTCTTGATGCTTCGCAGATGCCAACCTATCCTGCTGCAATGTTCCTTGGTGATACTAATGGGGAAGGGATGAGTCTTGTACTGTACTTCAAGGTTTCTGAAAACTTGGAGAAAGACATTTCTTCTCAATATCAAGACAATATCAAGGTAAATCCGTTTTAGATTGTCTTTTTTTCACCAGCATGCTTTATTTCAGCTATATAAATCATAAGGTGTTCATCTTATACTAGCTTTTAAGGGTTTACTGTAAGAAGCTAACCTTTCGGTGCAAGTGTTATGTTTATTTTGGCTTCTTATGTCCCTTGATGTTGCAGATGCCAACTTGTTGCAGAACAAATCTAGGAGAAGTTTGTAGTTTGTTGTGTTTAGGGTTAGGGAGATGTAATCTCTTTCTTTTAATAGAACTCCACTTCCATTACGAAAAAATGAGAGAAAGCGAGCGAGAGAGCACTACTAATCATAGTGGAGACTTCATCTACACGATATGTTTGTCATCATATGTTGACTTTGCTTCAACAGGTTCCCGAATCCTATGCTCTTCAAATAATTTTTTAATGGGTGCTGACGGACCCTGGGATTCTGAGCTTTGTGTACATTATCTTGTTGATTAAGATGCACAACATCGAGTGGATTGCTAGCATTTTGGGACAGATCATTGAACTGTCATTAGATGTTGACTTTGCTTCAACAAGGTCTCAAATCCCAAGCCCTCAAATAATTTTATCTAGAAACAACCGCTCATCGAACATTTGGATTTAGACAACTTTCGTAGCATCATTTTGTTCTCCCAAAGGACTACGACATCAAGGGGAACCTACAACGTCATGGCATAATGACAATTAAAAGGGTGACTTCAAGTTCAGTGGGGCCTTTGGGTGATAATCATGGAGAGAGAAAAAAATGAGCATGCACAATATTCATATTGGGAAGAAACATCTGTTTTCCCTCAATTTCATTGTATGAGGAAATCACTATAATATTTCATCCAAAGAAATTCCAATGACTTCTTGAAAATACTCTTCATGCTGTTTTAGTTTGTCTTCCTGGGTTTCAACACACTCTGCGTTCTGTTATCTTTGGTTGCTATTGTGTTGGTTGACTGAAATTTTCTTTCAAATGTGACAGAAATTGATCGAGGATGAGATGGAAAAGGTCAGAGGTTTTGCAAAAGACTCAACTGTTCCATATAGAGAAAGGCTAAAGATCATGACTGGGTTGGTTAATCCTGAAGATCTCAATTTGAGTTCTACTGAAAGAAAGCTTGTTAATGCTTATAATGAAAAGCCAGTTCTTTCTCGTCCACAGCATGAATTTTTCAAGGTAAGGCACGGTTTAAATTATTTTTGGTCAGCCAAATGCCAAATTAGTTTGCAGGCGATCTGCTATGCTGTTGAAATTTCGTTGGATAATAACAGACTTGAGGTCTTCTTTCTCATATCTTGCTACAACAGACAGTAATTACTTACGTGTTTCTTTCTTCTCCTTTTGTTTCCACTGTGAAATATGCTAATATTCCATCCTAGTGATTATGTGATGTAGCTTTGATATGCAAGACTGAGGGAAAAGATTTATGACCATGCCCATCCTGTTGTTCATGCAGGGTCCTAATTACTTTGAGATTGATCTGGATATCCATCGCTTCAGCTACATATCAAGAAAGGGACTTGAATCATTTCGAGACCGTCTGAGGAATGGAATACTTGATCTGGGCCTAACTATCCAGGTGATCAATCTAACTTATCACATGCATTCTTTACTGCAGGACATTCAGGCTTGTCTGGCGTCAGTGTCTATCCGAGTTAAAGTTTCCTTATGCTAAACCTAAGATCACTACACAGATAGAATTAACCCCACCTTTATCACCTGAGCTAGCTGGTTCTACAAGGTTGCTTCCTATTTTTATTTTTGTCAATGTTCTGGGAACTTATTCTGTGCACAAGACGAGGATTAAGGAACTGGATAGTAAATCATTAAGCCTATATATACTTGATCAAGAGCACTCTCAAGCTCATTCTGGGGTCAACATTTGTCTTGTATTAACAGGCACAGAAACAAGAAGAACTTCCGGAGCAAGTGTTGTGCTGTCTGAGATTGAACAGAATTGATTTTGTGGATCGTGGTCAACTGCCGAGGCTTATGACCCTTGATGATGACTAATATGGATATATTCCTGCATATACCAATGCTCAATCATGGAAGGAGTTGAAACTCCTTTATCTCTAATAATGAAAAAGGTGAAATATGTTTATTACGTGATGCACAAGTAAATAATGAAAATACAAATGTTCTTGTAATAATTTTGTGTTTATATTTTTGGATAATCACGGTTCCAAAAATTTTGAATTTTTTTTTATGTTTTTGAATTGTTTGATATATTTATATTAAAAAATAAAATTTTAAAAATAAAAAAATATTATTTAGATATATTTTTGAGTGAAAAATTATTTTGAAAAGTAACCGTTGCTATATTATTAAACATATTTAACTTGATTAAAAAATATCTTTTATTATTATTGATCAAATAAAAAAACTTTTAAATGTTTATAAATGAATAACCAAATTATTAAGGAATAAAAATGATAATTCATGAAAAATATTTTATTAAAGTTGTGTTTTTGATAAACTTTGGTTATAATAACACAAGTAGTTTGATTCAATTAGAGATTATAATTCTCAATGCAAGTTTTCTTTAGAATATTTTTTTAAAAAAATAATATTCATAGTAAGAATTGTTGATCAATTTAAAACTAACAACTCCAAAAACCTTAACAAGTTTTGGGCAAAGTACATATTAATCCCCCAACTATCATCCAATTCTCAATTGGGTGTCCAAACAAAAACAAATTCCCAATTGAATCTTTGGCTAGGAGACATTACCCAATTCACCTTCTCTATAAAAGTTTTTGCCTTTATTATCAAAAGGACTCATTTCTGTCATTAATTTTAATTATGGTTTTTGTCGAGTAATGTTTGATAAATCAGGATTCAATTGAGAATTGCTTTTTCTTTTTTTTTACCAATTTGAGAATTATGTGATAGTTGGAGGACAAATCTATACTTTACCCCATTTTGTGAATTTTATTTTCTATTTTATTATTTTTCACTAAACATTATTAGATTCGTAATTAAGATTATCTGATTAATCAAGGTTAATTTAGATGAATTCAAAATAAATATATTTAATTTTTTTAAATCAAATAAATTAACTAAATCATGAATTATTCATCAACTTAACTTTAAATTCATTTTTTTTACACTCAGCTAGGCTAAAGGTCTTCGTGTCCAAGACACGTGTCAGCCACCGGATCACTTCAAGTATAATAATTGTGAATTTTCATAAATCTATTTGTTTTTTAATTTCCAAATAAATTTGTTTAAACAAAAAACCAAGAGAGAGAGCCTTGCTGGCGTTCCCGTACGGCACCTGCTCTCTCTCACGACGCCACGGGATATTTATTATATTCAAATAAAACGGCATGGATACAAGCGTAAATATATAAAGCGTATAGGGGCAAAAAAGAAGAATGAAAATTAGGGTTGCTCTGGTATAAATTGAAGAGCGATGGCGAGAGGGCAGGATCTAAATCACGCCCAAGGCCGAGCGCTTCCCTCTTTAGTTAGGGGTGGCGTGGTATTCCACGAGAGAGGTTTATCAATACATCGTGGCGCACGTCAGTGCGTTGGGCGCACAATAAGAAATAGGGAACTCCATGGCCGCTTTGCTGCTCTAGTCTTTGCAGTCAAGGCGAGGGTATTGTCCTACATCTTTTCTTCCTCTTTTTTTTCCTTCATATTCTTTTCCCATATTTTTTTTTGGTTTTTAATCTCGCACAGAAGATATTTTCCAGAGATTATTATTTGTCAAAGTATTATTTTTGTGTGTGTGATCGAAGAAAACTCCTCAACAAATAATGTTAATGATTATCGTTTTCACTTTTTAATATTACAAAATAATTAATTGGTTTTTGAGAGATATTAGGAAATTTATGGGTTTTTCTGTTCATAAAAATAATGAAAATCTGAAGTTTTTATCTTCCCGTTTTTATTTTTTTTAAGATTTTGTTAATAAAAATGGAAAAACTACAGTTTTATCTTCCCTTTTTTTTGTTTTTTTTTAAAGATTTTGTTAATAAAAATGGAAAAACTAAAAGCCGCAAGGTATGCATCCCCTAATACAGTCCCCGTGAGTGTTGTTTTAGTGCTTTTGATTTTTTATTTGAGTTAATAATGCACGATTTTATTGCAAAATTATTTCATAATATTAAAATGATATTTAAAAAAAAATATTTGTGACACTAGAACATTAAAATAATTTAAAAATATATTAATTTAAAAAAATTAAAAATTAAATTTTTTAAAAAATGTTTTTAAAATGAAAAAACAATCGGACTCTAAAACATGACGATATGTAAGAGCCGCATTCAGATGTGTTTTGGAGGGTGGTTTGCTCGTGTAGTGCTGTTGGGTAAAAAAAAAAAAAAAGAAGTTTCTGAAATTAAAAATAATAAACTTAAAGTTAATTTTTTTTTTTCAAATACAGTTGGATCTCAACTTAAAAAAAATGCATGAAAGAGTTTTATATTTATTAATAACATTAGTGTGCAATTCTTTATTTTTTTATTTTTGGTTATACAGCATAAAATTGTTGGATCACAATCATTCCATTATAATTTCCATTTGTGATGTGTATGAATATGCATTTTTTGTAAAACTTCTTATCTTTATATCTATACTCTAAAGTTATGTTGTTGAATTATGCAGTGACATAATTGAATTGTTTCTCCTGAATTGTTTGTTGTCCTTGATATCAAGAATTTTAGAAGTGATATTTCTTATTTTTATATAATTTTAAATATTTATATTCATTTGGGTATCAGCTTTGAACAATTATATTTTCCTGTAGAAGTATTAAGGAAAGTATAAGTAGTTTTGAAAATTTAGCATAAATATAACTTAATTTTAAATTATATTTAATTGCTATTATTTATTTATTTATTTATTTTTGGTTTTGGAAATTTTATTATTCAAATAAAGGATTAATAAAGGATTATCAATACAAGTTTTATAAATTTTAGAATCATAAAAACTTATATAATTATTAATTTTAGAGTTATCAAAGTTAAATTAACTATATTTATAATTATAAAAAAATAAAAAAAATAATTAATTCCAATCATTATGTTTTTTTCACAATATCACAATCCAAATGCCAACATATGTCATTGTAATTCTAAGCATGTGGTAGTTAAGCAAAAAGCTAAAAGCAACATTCAACGGTTGTTTAATGTAGTTAATTTCAACAAAATAGAAGCACTGTATAACAACATACACAATATTATTCCCAATATGGCCATATGATTATAACATATCAGCACCGAATTTTAAGCTAAAACAAAATATATGTTCTTACAATTATTTTCCAATAAGCTGTTAAGCTAAACCAGCTTCAATTATGTTTGTTATAACTTAATTTTAGATCCATTAAAGTGCTTTTATAACAAAATACATGATTTTTCTTTTTTTATTAAAAAAACCATAAAACTGAAAAAATTAAAATCCAAAATATTATTGAAAAAAGAAAATTAAAGTTGAAATGTAGATTTGATTAAAGTTAAAAGAATTAATTAAGTAATGATTTAATTAAATTTCTAATAGGTTAAAATATTTTATTTAAAAATTTAATTGAAAAGAAACTAGTTAAAAAGTCAAGTGGGTAAAGATTAGAAAAATTAATTAAATTTTTGCTTTGAGGATTTAATTAAAGATTTAATTGAAGAAAAAACAAATTTGAAGATTTAATTTAGATCAATTCATAAAGATTAGATGAATTTAAAACACAATTAAAACTTTAAAAACCTAAATTGATGCTATCATGGTTCATTTGAGATAAATTTAAAAATTAAAAACTAATTAAAAGTTAAATTGAAGAATTTTAAAATTAAAAAATTGTTTTCATATTAAAAAAAAAATTACTATAACATTCATACAATTATTAAGAATAAAAAAATTAAAAAGATATTAAAAAAACAAATATAATGAAAAAATAAAAAAAAAAAGAAAATTCTTACAGTAATTTCATTATAAGTGAAGTTGAGAAAATAAAAAAATATAAATTTATAAAATATGTTAATTAATAAAATAAAACCGAGAAGACAAAAGAAGAAGAAAGGAGAAGACTTACATGTGTTTGGAGGAGAGGAGAAGAGACAAAAAAGAAAAAGAAGGATGTTGATGTTTTTCACAAAAAAGAGAGAGAGAAGAAGAGGAAGAAAAAAAAAAAAAAAGAGATACCTCTTTTATGAAATTAGTGATTTAAGTGTTTTAATTGAGTTTTTTTAGTAAAGAATAATTAAATATTAGTATTTTTAACTATTTTATCAGTATTTTTTTATAACATTTAATTTAAATTTTCAATTTAATCATAATGTCTTAGAAACCTCCAAATATTATTGGTGAATTTTCAGTTCGTAATTGATTTTACTTGTAATATTTAATTTAAAATTTTAATTAAATAATTTTTTTTCAAAAATCCTCCAATATCACCAAAGACTTTTTCAATTTATCATTGATTCTTTTTGTAAAGAACAATAATTAACAATGTAACTAGAAAGTGAACAATTCTAGAAATTTTTAAAAAATACCAATAGATTTAATTTGTTAGTAATTCTATATGTAATTAACAACATGAACAATATAATTGAAAATTAAACTATCTCAAAGTTCTATGAAATATACTAACAAGGCTTATTCCGTATTGATATTTTATAGTTTCATTTCTCTCTTAAATATTAAATATAAATTTACAGATAGATTAATATCGTCGGTAATGTTATTTGTATAAATAATATATCATTCTACTTTTTAATTTTTTAAGTTTTTATTCCATTATATATTGATGAAATATTTATGTTAGTTTTTATCAATGAATATAGAGAGGGATATTCTATTGGTAAAATTCATTATAATCTATTAGAAAAAATATTTGATTTTTATTTTTATTTGTGTTTATTAATTTTCATAGTGGTATTATTTTTTTGTTTTGTGTTTTACAGTCGGGCCCAATACTAAAAGTTTAATGGTTTGGTGGGCCTGACAAGTAGCAGCGCAACTGAAACTAGCAGGCTGCCCAGGGCCATGTTCACGGTTTCCAGACTGCTCTTCTGCTTGCAAGACTTTTGGTACCGACAAGCCTGGTGCTCACTGGGGCTGAAATAGCCTTATTGTCTTAATAATAATAATAATAATAAGAAGAAGATGAATGTTGTTTAGAATTTCATTTTGAAATCCTGGTTTTAGATATTGTTTGTTGTTTGTCACTGTG